CAGAATTTATCAAGAAAAATAACCTGCCTGGTGAAGTATTTGTGAAATTCTCTAAAAGGTCAACAAGAGATATGATACTGAAGACGACTAATGGAATAAGCTTAAAAATCCAAGGAGAAGAAGTGAAAGTTTTAAAAGATGTTCCATTTGAAGTGAGAAAGCGAAGGAAACAATACAAAATTTTGACTTTATTTCTACAGAAAAATTCCACCCCCTACAGATGGATAATCCCGGAAGGACTTATCTTCAACTTCAAAAAGAAAAAAAGAAAGCAAAAGCATTTTTGGAACAGCATCAAAGCCCAGTGAAAGAAAAAAAAAGGAAAAGTAGAGGACAATATCGTCACAGAAGAACATGGTTCCAAAAGCAGTGATAGCTCTCCAAGTAGCTCCTTTGAGGAAGATTTTGACTCTGAATCAGAATTAGGAGCCACGGCTCCTAAATCATTTAAGGCTAAGCTGCCTTTTGATAAGAGCAAACGTGGAGGGGAAAAAAATCAACTAAATAACCCGATCTTGAAAGTTTGTTTTTTCTCTTCTTTGTTCATTTACTAAGATGCACACACTACAGCTAACTTTGTTTGCACTGCTTAAAATAGAAAAACTAACTTTTAATCTCCAATTATGTAAAAGCTAAATAATGAGAAAATATTAAATAACCGAATTTTAGAACTTTTTTTGATCTCTGCTTACTCTGTATTTTAGTTTAGTTTATTCCTTTTCCCGATATCCTGTAGTGTATAGAGATAAAAAGCAATAAAAAATGTTCAAAAAAATGTGGTGTCCAAGGGCGGCACATGTCAATACTTTTTCCAGCGCCTGTCAAATGGTTTTAGGAAGTGGGTGTGGCTGGGTAAGGCTATTGCCCAGCAAGGCTTCTGATTGGCTGTGCAAATTTTTATTTTATTTTTTCCCTTTGGCATGCCACCACAGCACAAGGATCTAAATTGAGTTACTGAAGTTAAGCTATGGCAATCATTTTTGGCTGGTTCCACCTCCTGGGGCAGCCATTTTGTTGCTGTGTCCACCATGCCATGTCAGAATTCCAAATTTATTTATTTTATTTATTTATTTATTTCAGTATTTCTACCCCGCCCTACCCCACAGGCTCAAAAAGGTTGGAACCACTAATCTAATGCATCTGAAAGCAAATTGCATTAGCTAAAGATAACTCACTATACATTTTAATACTGATGTTTTTAGTGGCCTACTTGTAAGAGCATATCTGTGGTCACCAGAAACATTTCTAAAATTTGGAGATGTAACTTTAAAATTATTTGGATAAGGTTAGTTTCATAAATTTTAAATTGGGCAGCCATGTTTCATCCAAAGAAAATACTTGTAATGAGTAACTTGAAAGGATACTTTAAAAATGATCAGAAATACTGTATCTTCCAGGATGCAAATTTATCTTCTAATCCAAGAGACACAAACAACATTTTCCTGAACTACAGATGACACTACAGCTTCTGAAAGGCAATAGTTTTTAAATTATGGATTGACAGCCAAAGATTGACAAGATTTATCTATTCCTTCATAGTCAAGAAGTACAGTTTGTGTCCTGATGCCTGGGGTCATTTCATAGCAGCACACAAAATAATTTATTTAGGTTGTTCAGAAGACAGTTTTCCCTCCAAGCCTATACAAAGAAATCTTAGTCTATTAAAAATCCTATTTCTTTTCAAAATGATACATTTGCAAAAGTAAGTTTCCATCTTGGCTTCACAATCTGAAGGAACAGATTAACTATAATAAATATGATGCTGTTGCTTTTCACAACTTCGACTGGCAAAAATGAATAAGACATGAACTGTAGCCAGAGATTTATTTTAACGCTTATATTAATCTTTCTTCAAAGATTCATCTATCTAGACAGTTCCAAGTAATACCAGAATAAAATTATTTCAGAGATGTAAGGGTGCTAAGAAAAGGCTTAACCAGGAGATATTTTAATAAGAGAGAGGGAAAAAACCCTCTAATTATCTATAAATCCTTTAAAATCAGTTGGCCACCCTCTGAAAAACTGCATGAATGTTTCATGACCTGGTCTGGCCACTTAAATTAGCGCAACATTCATTAGCTGCAAAGTTGTGAGATGAACAACAATGCAATTCACAAACCAGTGAAACCAACAGAAAGACACTTAACATGACACTACATTCGTAATGCATTAAATTCAACAGAACCTACTTCCAAGGACAGATGTTCTCCTGTATAATACAAGTAACCTGATCCAATACATTTTTCAGTACAAGCCTATGCAAATTCACCGCAGTCTAGCCCTTGAAATACACCCCCCCCCAAGAGCTGTTGGGGAGGCAGGAGCCCTTTTCCTGATCCAATACATTTTTCAGTACAAGCCTATGCAAATTCACCGCAGTCTAGCCCTTGAAATACACCCCCCCCCAAGAGCTGTTGGGGAGGCAGGAGCCCTTTTCCTCCAGTAGCAGTGTTCTGAGCCTGTTCTGGCTCGCCCCACTCCCTCCTTTAGGAGCCAGCTTGGTATAGTAGTTAAGTGTGTGGACTCTAATCTGGGAGAACCAGGCTTGATTCCCCACTCCTCCACTTGCACCTGCCGGATGACCTTGGGCAAGCTATAGTTCTGATAAGAGCTGTCCTTGAAAGAGCAGTTCTGGAATTTTTTAAAAAATTATTTATTATCAGATTTATACCCCGCCCTCCCCACAAAGCGGGCTCAGGGCAGCTTCCATAAAACATAAATACATTAAAATTATACAAATATTTAACCACACAAATAAAAACAATATAAATACAAAGTACTGGTG